ATTAATAGCACTACCACAACGTTGTGTTACGTAAGTGTATGCAATACTCAGTGCGGTTAGCCTGGATTTACACAGGCACACGCATGCTGGGTACAGATAAAAGCTGTTGTTGTTGTTTCATCTCACATCTTTTGCTTCAACATTGCACACAATCTAAACAAAGCAACAGGATGTTCCTTGTGACACAGAAAAGGGGAGTCACATGCTGCAGCGTTTGTTCACATGTTTGCTTCTCTTTCTAAAACAAGTCTTGGCACAGTTTGAGACACATATCAATTTTATGCCTGGGAACAATAGGCCTAAAAGTGATGTGATACCAAAGGTTGTAACCTTTGGAGCCTTCAAGATAAACTTTCCCTTCCTTCACAGCGTCTGACTAATGTTGAAGGACAAAGCCTGTTCACAGCGGTTGGAGAAGACAGAGAGAGCCTGTTGTTGTCAGAATAGGCCATTTCGACTTCCTTAGGTTCGCCAGTGGTACCAAGAAAACTGTGCCAAGCCATTGTGTGGGAACATGTGTTACTGTTTGTGGCCATGTAACTGTGTCACTAAAGCTGTTAGGTGTGACTCTGTGACCCTCGTGCAGGACATGTCTGCCTCACAGTTCCTGAGCACTGAGTAACATTTGTGGCAAAGTGCATGAACTTATGAAGTAAAACGTTATTTTGTGCTTTACCTTACCCACCTATCTTCACCATATGGGGCATGTTTGTTGCACATCTGTGTAGTTTGTGTGTATATTAAAGTTAATAGCCAACACCTTTTAAAAGGTGCAACTTTTTAAACTTTCACTATGCTCGGCGAGTGTTCGCGAACATGTCAGCAACATCTTCCATCCAAACTACAAGGCAACTGTGGAAACCTGCTAGCAGCATACCACTATGCAATCAATTTTACCTACCTGCCGACCGCCACTTGCCGACTGGTCAGGGAATAATTCCCGTGGTGATTGTGTTGAGGTCGCCAAACTGTTTCCAGCCCTAAGATTTACTATTAAATACTTACTGAAACCTTCCTTGTCAGCAAGATTAAGCAATAACTACCAGGTGGAGCCCAAAATGTTGATTCTGTTCAACTGGACATAGCGTTTTCAGTGGCAGAAAAAATGTTTCATCACTCATCCAAGTGACGTCTACGGTCTCAGCTGACTGCAGGTTCACCAGGTGGTGTAATACCAGGTAGAGGTTCATGAAGGGGAGGTACAGCAGTGCAGGGAAGTCTCTTGGTTTGAATCTGCTGATCTGGAGCCCTTCTTTTTTTCTCAGGTTGTGTCATTTCCAATGGTCCATATTGGCTGTAGGTGCGTTTGTGGGTGTGAACTATATGTCTTGTGCGTCTATCTTTGTTAGCTCTGTGATGGACCGGCAACCAGTCTGGTGTGTAGCCCCATGTTTTTTTTTAAGGATTAAAATGACTGCATACTCCGAGCTAAAAAAACAACACTGTACTGTAACTGGTGCAGTTTGACTGTAATACTGTAAGAGAGGATCTGAGCTCTCTGGGGCAAAAGTAGCATCTGAAGGATTGAAGAAGCAAATCCTGAGGCGCAGACACCTGACAGGCTGACATCTACAAGCTAATGAAACATTTCAGATTCCAGTTGCGTAGGCAGGCATCTTGATCATGTGCAGTTCAAGTGAAGAAGATACTGATTCAAAATGACTCAATTGTTTTAGTTTTTTGCCACTATTCTCACCGGCAATTTGCAAGTTGCATTAAATTTCTTTCTGTTGTGCAAATACACATTGCTGCTCTCATGGGACTGCAGTTTTTCCTTTGGCATAAGCAGAACTTGAGCATTTTATCCTGTAACAAAGTCCTGATTGAAAGTAGGTTGTATATACAGACAGCATGAGGTCGGTGGCTTGCAGCTTGCTTGCTTTTATAACTGCTGTGCCAACAACACCCCAAAGAAGTATGACTAAACCTCCTCTGCTGAGGCGGTAGGGAATCTGTTCAGATACAAGTCCATACACCCTAAAGGCTAGAAAGCATTTTTATGAATCACCAACCTTAAAGGTGACCTGGAGATCAAGATTTCTTGATGATATGTCTGTAAAAACTGGACATAATACAAGTTCTATTAAGGAGGTTTGCTCTTTGTGAGAACATTTCTTCATCCTAACTCCTACAGCAACAAAAATCCTGGTTAATAAAACAATTGTGAGTGAATTTTCTCGCCCATTTTGCTTCGGCAGCAGATTTTAAAAATATATTTACATTAACCTAAAACTTAAGACTAAAAACATTAGTAGTATATTTGTTTGTTTGTTGTTTGTTTGGTAATTGTCATGTATATTATTGTCATGTTCAAGAAAAAAGGTTTGAGATGATTTGATCTTTGTGACACAGAGCATTACCCAGCCTTCAGCAGATAGGCATACTGTGGTTTTAAAGGGATGGACATGGTCAGAAACTATACTTAGGTAGGCTTTGGGGTTAAATGATACTAAGTCAGTACGAAGTGGTCTAAATTGTGTCAAAAAATATCCCTACACCGCTGCACCACCACCAGCAGAAGTGTGAATCACTGATACCAGGCAGGATGGATTCATGTTGTTTACAACAAATTGTGACCCTATCTCCTGAAAATTGCAACAGAAATCGAGACTCATCAGAGCAGGAAAATGTTTTCCATTTTTCTGTTGCCCAGTTTTGATGTGCCTGTGTGAATTGTAGCCTCTATTTCCTGTTCTTAGCTGACAAAAATGGCACCCAGTGTGGTCTCCTGCTGCTATAGCCCATCTACTCCAAGGTCCCATGTGTCATGTGTTCAGAAATGTTCTTCTGCATACCTTGGTTGTAACCAGTAGTTAGTTTAGTTATTGTTGCCTTCTTATCAGCTTAATGAAGTCTGGCCTTCTTATCTGACCTGTGGCAACAACAAGGCATTTTCACTGGGAGAACTGCGGCTCAGTGAGTATCGGTCCAAAAAAGAAGAAACTGTGTGTAAACCATAGAGATGGTTATGTGGGAAAATCCCAGTAGAGCAGCAGCTTCTGAAATACTCCCACCAGGTCATCTGGTGCTAAAAAACATGCCACTTTCAGAGTCACTTAAACCGCTTTTGATACCCATTCAGATACTCAGGTTTGAACCTTAGTGTTTCATTTGGCGCAGGTCTACATGCATTGAGTTGCTGCCATCTGATTGGCTGATTAGAGATTTCCATTAACAAACAGCTGAAAGAATATTGTTAAAAAATTATTTATTTTTTAAACAAGCAGTTAAATAGGCGTACCTATTAAAGTGGCTCAGTGACCCGATCCGCAATTCAGCATCTTCCTTACTTTGAGTACTTGCCTTCTCCTCAGCTTAGCACTTAATGATGAATCAATATCCCCATGTGTCATCTCCTTTTGTATAATACCTCCGGTGGGCAATGAGCATACATTTTATGCAGAAAATCCTGTGTGGGAAAGACACCACACTTGTTTTTATCATTATTTTAACTACAGAGACAGATGTGCAAAGAGACTGACATCCCTGAAAAGCCTTTTATAATGCATGCAGTGCGTGTTTGCCACCGGTGTTATCCCAAGGCATGAATCCAGAGATTTGTTATCAGGCTGGTCTGTTGATCTTTTCACTTGACCAGAGAAGTTTACAAGAACGGCGAGCACCTGTATGTTTACCTGGTGCTTGTTTATCTGTGTTTGCACAATGAACTAGGAAAAAAATCATTCAAAGGTAGACGTGCATGGAGAAACTTGTGCAAGGTTTAGGGAGGGGGGGCTAAAAGTGTAAATAAGCCTTTCTTGGCACACTTGAGTGTGCTGTGCTTCCTGTAGCGCAAAGGCAGATAAAATCACACAGTTTGGTACAGAGTATATTTATAAAGTTCTGAAGGCGTTTTGTTCGGGTGCTGTGGTCACTCAGCAGGATGTTGTGATCTACTTAGGTTTTGTATGATCTGTGGGGAGCTGCCTCACAACGCTGTGGGGTCTCCACCTTGTGGCTTGGACCCCATCATGCAGTGCTGGGTGGCTGAATGCCATGCAGGCTTGAATAAAAACGTGCACAGACTTGTGTAAACCTAAACTCCCACACCCACTGACTAAGAGCAAATAGGAAAATAAATAAATAAATGCACCATACTATTTAAGAGTACATTAAAACCTCCTGTATTAGAATTTGTATGCCTAAAATGTACAGTCAACTATCACTGAAGACCATCTCAAAACATGATGATCATTATTCGGAGGCATCTTCTGATGTTTTTTTTCTTTTTAAACTCAACACTGAACCTACACTGAAGCCGGCTTGCCAGAAGTAATATAAGAGGTGCTAATAAAGTTCACTGAGCTGGTGGTTATAGAAAGTACAGCTCGGAAAAAAGGAAAAAAAGAAAAAGAGTTATAAGCCAAAGGGTTACAGGGTCAGAACTGAAACCTGACATCACATCTCAAGTATGCAGAGGAAAAGCAAAAGCATGTCTGCAAAACCCTGGCAATAGACCAGTAATTTATCGATGTTATAGTGGACTTAACCTCTGTGTGTCTTCAATAAAAACCAACACTGTGAAATATAAAGATACTCTCACAGCTTCTCATGTCATCCTTGACAAACCGTGGGCCTGGAACCTCTCCAGCAAAATCATGCAGCAGCAGAGGAACGCAATTTAAACTTTAAACTTGGATGGGGACATTTAAGTGAATTTAATGTGCTGAGTTTTGTGTAAAACGCAGTAACACTCTAATAAATCCAAAACACAGAACTCAGCAGCTACCTTTCAAAGCTGACACCTCTAAATAAGATCTGCAACGAGTGACTGTTTTGAAGTAAAAGGGTGTTTGCATTGACTTAAAAGCCTATAGGCGGTTAAGCTATTTTTTGAGCGTGTCATTTCTAGTCTTGCACTGCTGGTTTTCAGCTTCTTAATGACATGCTTCAGAGTCGCATGAGCCTGACCAAGAAGAAAAAAAAAGAATACGAGACGAAGAGAAAAAAAACTGTCCAACCCCTTCTGAAGATTTCCTGTTTCATGAAATGCGCACATACTGTGAGTCATATAGGGTCAGTCCTGGCTTGTGTTTACCCAATCTGCTTCTTCTCCTTCGTCTTCCCGGAGCCGTGAAGGCGTTTAAAAGGGAGCAACAGGCGGGCCGAAGAAAGTCCGCGGAGACTGGATATTAACCCGCTGTCAAGGCTTCGGCAAATTAATGAGAAAGAGGGCAGCGCACAGTCTAAATGGAGCTACTTCGGTTTTCCGCTTTTTGGTGTGGAATGATACTCTTTGGTAGTAGTCTGCTCGAGGAGGCGGGTGAGTTGAACTTTAAACTCTCAGAAAAGTAGTCAAAGCTTCGGAACTTATTTCAGCGGACTCTGTGAAGAAGAAGCGGAGTGATACAAAGTGAAAATTTATTTATTGGGCAAAAATATGACACTGTAATTGCTTTTTTTCCTTAACAGGTGTTTCTTTAGCTTTTAGCTAAAACTACGGAAAAAGAAAATACCCAGGTGCGAAGCCTTGTTTATTCAGGACACTTTACTTGCTAATGTGGTGTCAAATGTAAATTAGCTTCACTTGACTCCGCGAGTCTCTCTGTCGCAACTTTCATCAGTGCGAATGCGATAGCTTTGGGAAGACATCACCTGCTGGAAGTCACCAGCCTCCTTTGGTTATCTGCATCTTTGATGTGTAGCCACAGTGCTAACAGGTCTAACGGCCCCCCTTAAGGAAGACAGTGTTTTACCTTCATCTGTCTCAGACTCAGTCCCAGCGGCACCAAGTGGCTTTGGCTGCTCCTAATCCTTCCCCCCACCTCTCTGCAATTATATGTAGCCCTGGGTGACAATTACTACCATTCATCCCTTCCTTTGCCCGCCTCCTCCTGGGTTAAAATGACATGCTCTTTCAGAGGAGTTGCTCTAATGATATAATTACTCAGGCTCAGCCACCTTCCTACAGCACTCAGGCATGGACTATCCCTTCAGTGCTGATTCACTTCAAAACACCTCACCAGCCCGCTGGGCAGACTTTTAAAATTGCTCTGTGGCGTAGTTTAGTCTGGAGTTCAGGTGTGATATTTTCATGTTTGTTTTGTTTTTGTATTTGTGAAGGCGTCTCTCAGTGCAGACAAGCCCTGAAAGCAAAAACAAAACAAAAAAAGCCAACGATTTCCTGATAAGGTCTTGTGAAAGTGCCTCATCTGCTGCTGATTGTCAGGCGCAGCCATCCGGTGGTAGTGATCTAATTTTGCTGCACTTCCAGGGTGCATGTTGTACAGCGTGTCTGTTGCTGACCCCACCCTGCAGCCTGGGTTTTTTGGGGAACAGACATAGTAGGATCCTTGTGCCAGGTTAAGAGCACACACACACTCACAGAGAGCACCTTTCTCGTAAGCTTGTGTGAAGCCCAAAGCATACTTTTTTTTTTTTTTTTTTGCTGACCATGTCAAGAAGCACGCTTTCACTTACGCTTCCCCTTCTAAAACTTATTTACTATTTGGTCATGTGATAAACCCTCAGCTGTGCCATTTTTGAGACATCGACCAACTTCAGGTACATCAGTGTATCAGAAGCGGTGTTTTCCCTCTTGGTTTGTTTGTGAGTTGAATTCTCTGATGAAAACAGCAGGTTCAACTTCCTGTACACTTGAAGTCAGCATACAGATGAACTGTGGTTAGGTGGTTTCACTGAACCAGCAAAGTCACGTGTTTCCAGTCTGCGTAACACATGCAATGCATGCATCTCAATCCTGCCAGACATCGTGATTGTTTCCTCTTTTTAATCATTCTCCTTATTGATCCTAGTAAATCTGAAATGTCCCCTTTCCAAAGTGTTTCCACATCTTAAAGCCACAACGTCCTCTTTTCGCTCATAATTTTGTGTAGTAGCCAGAACTCCCTTTAAAACTAGAGAAGAGAGATCTGATTTTTTATTTTTTTTTGGTGCGGTTTTTGTCATCACGTCCCTCAATGCAAGGATAAATTACAGAACTGCATCCTAGGAATGTTTGTGGAAATAAAATTCTTTCTCGCTCCTGTTCTTCACAGACTGATGCATAACCTCGTTTTTTTTCCCTTTCTTTTTCCATCAACAAATCATCAGCGGTGTTGGCACAACACCTTACTTGATGGGGAGCCGACTCATCGGGCTGACAAATTAGAGACCCCTCAGCAAGAAAATTCATCCGTGTTTCCTCTGTTTGTTGTTCTTGCCTGTCTGGCAGTTGTCTCCTTAGATGATTATCAAACCCACAGGCACTCCTCACACAATCCTGTGTGTCTCACTGATACGGGTCTGAACAAGTCTAAAGGAGGTGAATGCCACTGCTCTGCTTTGTTAAGCTCTGCTTTGTTAAGCTCTCACAGGGGGAGGAAAACGTGTCCACCCCTGTAGTATAAAATTGTTTGGATATTTCTGTGGTTATGTGGAATATCAGCTTCTGCACACTGACAAATTCCAAAATACCTCCGTCCTTTGATTAAATTTCAGGTTTTTAAGGCTGTTGAAATGAAATTCACAAGTTAGTCTTACCTCTTTCACTTCCTCTTTTTTTTTTCCAGAGGCCTCTATAATGAAGATGCCATTGCTGTGCAAGTTTTGTGATATACAGCCAACTAACTGCTCGGGTAAAGGGAACTGTAAGGTGGAGTGTGATATTACAGCTATTTGCCCCCAAATAGAAGACGTGTGTGTCAGTATTTGGTAAGTGTCCACTGAACTTCCTGCCTTGTGATTCTAATGCAATGATTCAGGATGTAAATGAACAATTAAACTATAGCAAAGAGACTCGAGAGCTTTTCTTTGTTTCGTTCTTTACTCTCTGACGTTTATTATGCCTTTTTATATTTATACGCCTCTTCATGCAAACACAAAGCGAAGTTAGGAAATAAGGGGAACAATGGCTACTTATTTATTCATCAAATCAGTCGTCGTTTCCTTCCTGAAGCTCTAAAATTTCCTTCATTGTGTGACCTTTTGCTTTTTTCACTTTCTCCGTCAGCATTTTGCCCAAAAAGCCGGCCCGATTATGACAGGTCGTGATCGCCTAACCACCCGTCAGCATCAAATCTGACTCTGATTGTGAGAAGCAGTAGGAAGCAGATTTGTATTGGTGTTAAAAGCTTAAAGCAGTGCTGCTGTTTCTCATTATACTCGCAGTGTAGTGGGCTTGTTATGAGCTGAGGTTAGCAGAAAGCTAATGGCACGTGGACAGCAGCACCTCTTTAAACTGTCTCTCATAACCGCCCAGGCAGCACTGCTCAGCAGGAATTCCAAATGTAAATATGCTGATTTGTACAGAGCCAAGTTTTAATTTTTTTCTTCTGTTGTTTGTATGTAAGTCTCCATCCTTAGAACTTTGAATTCAATGTTTTAGTCATTTGTGTGTGTATATTGTATATTACATAAAAATATTGCCATTTACAGCTACAAGTTTATCATTGCATTTTGTACCTAATTATTAAGGCTGTGCAAAAGTCTTGACCCACCTCTCATTTCTGTATATGTTGCTTCCAAGGAGCCAAACTTTGTTATACTCAAGTGTTTCTCAGTAGATCTCCAGGCTTACAGAGCTTTTCTTTGGACATAAGCTGCTTTTCATTGATCTTCAGTTCAGCCCTTGTCCCTGAACATTTTCAGAGGATTTTATTTTGTGCTTGGGTTTTTGTTTAAGTCATTTAACACTTATCTATAAATCAATCAAGCACAAAAAAGGCGCCTAAAAGAAAGGGATGAACCAGTGTTGTGTCTATACATAAGAACTTTTAATTTTACATGAGTGCAAGGTTAAAAATGCAAGGAAATATGAGTTTAAATAATAAAGCAATAGACAGTGCACAAGACGGGTGAAGAAGAGAGTGCAGGTTGGATAGAGTAGGTGGAGACATGTATTAGGGATGATTTGTGACACAAGGGTAGCAGCAAGAGTGAAAAGAATGGTTTATATATGAGACCTGGCATATGTATGGTTTATAGATGGTGGCACTGACTAAAAGACAGGAGGCCAAGCTGATGATGTTAAGACTTTCAATGGGTGTGACCACGACGGATAAAATTAGAATTGAGTACATTAGAGGACAGCTCGGGTCAAATGGTTTCAAGGTTTAGATGGTTTGGACGTGTGCAGAGAACAGAGAGCGGGTATATTGGAAAAAAGGTCTTCAATGTGGACCTGCCAGGCAGGAGGAAAACAGGAAGACTGTAGATAAGATTTATGTAGTAAAGGAGGACATGCAGAGGGTTGGTTAGCAGAAGAAGATAGGTTGAGATGGAGGCCGATGATCCACTGTGGCAACCCCGAAAGGGAGCAGAGAGCAAGAAGAAAGTATTTTGTAGTACTAGCAGTCGACAAACATACAATTTGTTTTCTTTCCTTTAACCAAATGTATGAAAAACACCAAATATAACACAGTTTGACAGGAATAAAAGAATATTTTTGCATCAACAAGTGATTTCTAAAAAGAGATGTCAGCTGAAAGCTTGACCAATCGCAGCATGTTGACCAGTGTGTCTGTAAAAATAAAAAAATTGAGGAAACTGAGCACATGGTGGACAAAATTAGAAGTGACAGGCCAAAAGCTAGATTTAGATGAACAGTATCTGAACAGTATCTGTCACGTTCTTAAGAGATAGGAAAAGATCCTGTAATGAGCTGCTGTGCAACTGGAAAGATGTGGCCATCATCAGAGGCAAAGAAATGGTCTCAGTGGAAGGACCGCTGCAAAGAAGCCTTTCATGTCTTCTGGAGAGATAAATCCAAATTTGACATTTTTGTTTGAAATTGTTGTCTATATGTAAAGAGAAGGTCAGGAGAGGGGTACAACAGTGAGTGTCTACAGCCATCTGTAAAACACAGTCGAGGTGCCGTCCTGGTATGGGGCTGTGTTTCAGCTAGTGAGTAGAAGATCTTGTCTAATTTGATGCAGTAAAAACATACCGACAGAAAAACGCACAATGGTACACTATCAGTCATGGACAGAACAAGAAGCTGCCTAAGAGTGTTCAGGCTGTGTCATTGGGGTCATACAAAATAATTTTAAGTGTGTTAGACTTGTAAAATCCCTGTTTTTGCTTTATATATATTTGGATATTTCCATGCATGTTAGCACACATTTCAATGAATCGCTGAAGCTGTTTACCATTTTCCTAGCAAAATACGAAGAAATCAGGGGTGACTTGAGACTTTTGCACAATAGTGTAGGCCTGCCATCATCTCTTTGTTACAAATCTTTGAAAAGCAGGTAGTGAATACCCAAACTCAAACTTGACTAGTAAAAAGTGTTTATCCGTCTTCTCTTTCTCAGGAGGAAGAAAGATGGCAACGTCACCTTTGATACAGTGTGCCACAACCCAGCTGAAAAACTGTACGGCTTAGTCTTAAAGGACTACAACAACAGCGAGTGTGAAATGAAAGAGCTGAGTGGCATGGGCTCGAAGTTCTTCATCTGTTCATGCTCTGAGGTGGAATGCAATGAGCACGTCTTTTTTGACCCAAGTAAGTTAAATTGGCAATTTTTCAAAATGTACGAAATAAATGTGGTAGAAGACAGTTCACTATTAATATTTAACTTGTTTTTGCTATATTTGAATCTTTTATTGTTAAATGCTAAACTATGCGCAACAAATAGCTGCAAATCTGTCAGTCTAGCAACACTGGTACATGCGGTAGATTTTTAGAGCCTTTTGAGCTGAGTGCTCTGAATGGAAATTGGTTTGATAAGAGTGAAATTAAGCCAAACTGGTCAAATTGCAAGCTGTAAAACCCAAACAATTAACTAAAGCAGGCTAAACCCTCTTCAGGGCTGGAGCTGGAAACTGGGACATTATATGTCTAAGTAATTGGTGTCATAACTACATTTCGGTGGGTGTCTGAACTTTGACTCCAAATAAACACGGAGGCTCTCTGATGCCCCTTTTATTCGTTAAAAGTGAGCAAAAATGCTCTGGACTTAATTCTGCACCACAGTTAATTTACTCCAACTAGGTGATAATGTGCACTGAGTCATGTTTTTCACCAAGAAAGCAAAAATCAAAGGATCGATGGCAAGAAAGGTGAGGGTCAAATAAGCAAACCAAGGGAAGACAGCTGTTTAAAAAAAAAAAAACATTTTAAAAAGAAAGGAGAGTAGAGCACAACTAACCAGTTGAGAAAAGTTTAGCTCTCAGCAGCTGTTAAGTGACAATATAGCTACCAAAAAGACATAGCACAGCTTAACACCATGAAACCCACGGCCTTGAATTACAGAAAGAGCTAGAGCGATTGAGCAGCAGCAGGTTCATTTCCAAATGATGTGACACAAGGAAAAAAAAAAAAAAACTTATTTTGCTAGTTATAATGAAACCGTGTCAGGCAGCACATCAACAAACAGTGTAAACATTATTATGTCATGCATGGTGTTTGCTCCTTAGAGTAGTGGTTTACACATTAGTTTTGCAAGCCAAATGTCTCTGTTTAAATTCCAGCCAATAAAACATCCCTTGTGGGATTGCATTAGGAATCCACTGCAAACACTCTGCCAAATTAAACAGCGACCCACTGTGACAAGGGAGCAGCTGAGAGTAACCATATGACATCTCTGTTTGTGTTTGATAACATCAAAGGAACAAGACAAGAAAATCACTATGTCTCATATTATTGTAATATAGTGTTATTATAGTGTAATTATAGTGTTGGTTTTGTAAACACAAATAAGCTTCCAGTTATTTTGGTGTGCCCTGATGACCTGGTTTGACGCCTGATGTGCCTTTAGCACCACACAGGCTGAAAACGGTGTTAGGCTGTGAGCAGGTTTAGAGGCTCATATCAGTCCTGCACGCATCATTCTTCTAGAGGTCTGTGTGGCAGATAGTGAGGAAGAAGATGTGATAGAGGAAGTGAAGAGAGCAGAGGGGGAGGATGAAGAGAGATTTCTTATAATTACACAGGATGTTAAGAAAACTTTTTTTTTTGGGGGGGGTGGAAAAACATGTTCGTAGTGAAGTCTTGTTCACTAAATACAACGGTCTTTATTATGCAGCATAGTAGTCTCAGCATTTTCTTAATGTAAGTGTTAGAAGACTCGTCTACACTAACTTGAACAATTAGAATTAAGTGTTCAAGCACAGCACGTTAAGAAGTGTGTGTCCATTTTAACATGTGCAGCGTTATGGACGTCAGTGGTACTCTAAGGACCCCTACAGGTTCTTGTAAAGCTGTTGGCTCAATTATCTATTTAAAAAAAAAAAACACACACACAATCAAAAGATGGATGAGAGCTATGAGAAAGGAAGGGTTCCCGCAGAGAGTGCTTTTGAGTGGGGCTCAGAGTTCTGTGTTACACCCCTGCCTGGAAATAGTTTTCAGAGTTCATCACTGGGAGAGTCATACCTTACATATTGCACACCGGTTATTTGATCTGATTTTTAAGTTTTACTCCCTCTATTTTTCATTTCTTTTTAAAGTGGAGGAAGATTCATTTAAAATCTTAGAAGTGGAAGTATTTATTCTTTCATTTGTGAGGATAACATGATAACGTCAGAATTTTTTTATCAGTTTGTCGTGCACGAGTGCCAACATGTGTGCACTGGGATGCTCTCCAGATGCATAATTGCAAACAGCTTTAGGAGATCATGTAGACACTGGCTTCTAGACTCCAGTTACAACATTGGCCCTGGAATAAGATGTATTTTGACTACGGTGTCCCGGCAGTAATAACACCAAGGTACATTTCCGAGACCTGGCTCTGCACCGAGAGCCAAATTGAAAGCATCTGCGCAGAGCAAAGCACGTCATGGAAACATATTTTCTCACTGTTGGGAATGTCTGTGCGCTCTCTGGAAGTTCTCAGTGACTAAAGTGGGTAAGTTCTGTAGTAAAGGCACTGCAGATGAGCTTGAACAACAGGGCAATAATGCCAATTTGAACCAGTTAAACCTGTTGAACAAAGCACGATTTAACGATTCAGCTTTTGCTTGCAGTTTTCCCTCTCTTCATACTGTTATACAGCTGCCTTGAGAAGCAAGCTAATTGTATTTCCCACCCTATTATCAGAAACACATTAACAAAACCTACTGGGAGCGGCAATGTTACAAAATGAGACCTAGCTTGAGTGAAAACAAGGTACGTCAGTTGTTATATTGAATGTGAGCGGGTGGTTTGTCAGAGTAACACCCATGTGAATGCCAGAATCGAACAAGACGTAATAAGATGATCAATGTTATTCACTTCACCTGTCAGTGGGTTTAATGCTGTGACTGAATGGTGTATAAACAAATATACAAGTACAACTTAAAAGCTTTATTTAAGATGGTAGGTACCACTGTTTTCAATGGTTTCCAGTCATTATGTTATGCTAAGCTAAGCATATCTGAAGCATCATATTTAACAGGCAGGTAGGTGAGTAGTATGGATCTACTTCCCACCAGCAAGAGTATTTCTTAAAGCCTTTTCCCTCTAAAGATTCTACCCTTGTGTATGCAGTATTTCACACTTTGAACTTAAAGATAATTCTCAATTACACGGTTTTTCACGGCATCTCCAGACATTAAATGTAGCATTACTTCTGCACTTTCAATAATTCACACAACAAGTAAGGATTTTGTCTAAAGCCCGGAGGAGTTTGGAGGCACAGTGACAGGTTTGTTGTGAGAAATAGCTTCTTACTCCACAAAACTCAAAACAAACAGTCTGTCTGAGGCCCTGTAGAGGATTTCAGACATGTGGTTTCCTGTTCAGAAAAAAAAAAAATTAGAGAGAAGTCGAGGGCTCAACTCGGCTGTCGGTTAGATGCCTGACTGTGCTCCGCGCATTTACACTTGCTCCTAAAATTGTTTGCCATGTATTTCTTGAAAAATAATGCACACGTGATACTCTTGCCTACACATGTTATGCAACTCAAATGTAAGCTAGACAGCTAAATAAAGTGTGGCATTTGCTTTGGCAACACAACTTATAAATGACTAAATTTAGAGCGCTTCATACTGGGGACCATTTGAGGTTTTCTTGTTTAGCGTTTTATGTCTGGTGATCTACTTTTTAGATTTTCTTCTATTGCTGCAGCTTTAAAAACGGGACTATAAACACAGCACAAGCATAAACTCTCACTGTTTGCCAAAACCAAAGCAGCTACCAGACACACCACCTCCCAAATTATAAGAATCAGACATGAGATCGTGCTTGACTGGGTCAGGGTTTGGAGCAGTTTACATTTGTGGCTGAGAATCTAACTTAGGCTCTGATCCTGATAAACATTCCTCAAAGAAGCGTCGGGTTTCTCTTGTCTTCTGAGCATTACTTTACTTGTAGCTAAGTGCTGATACAATCTGCCACAAAGTAATTTAGTGTTTTATGTCTTCATATTGTGGGTGTTGTAGTTTAAAAAAAAAAAAAAAAAAAACACAGTTACTACTCTCACAGATTTAAAGTGACTTTTAGACTGGTTGTATGTTCTGCATCTTAACCTCACACTATCTTCTTTAACACGTGCTGATTCTTTGACCTTTAGGGCCCACGGAACCACAGGTGATGGCTGTTATCTTAGTAAGCCTGGTGCCTCTCCTGGTTATGGCTACCGTGGTCATCACTTTCTTCTACTTTTACCGTGTGTGCCGCCAGCGCAATGGCCACTGCAGGCACAAGAAAGATTCTCTGCTGGAAATCGACCCACTCGTCATTATAGAAGAAGACAGCAGCTCCACGCACGCCAACAGCCTCAATCACAACACTGAGCTGCTGCCCATCGAGCTGGACGTGCAGGTTGGAAAAGGGCGCTTTGCAGAAGTTTACAAAGCCAAGCTGAAGCAGGGCTCCTCTGTTAGCGTGGAGCAGGGCTTTGAGACTGTAGCAATTAAAATTTTCTCACACGAGGAGTATCTATCCTGGAAGAACGAGAAGGACATTTTCTCAGATGCGGATTTGAGGCATGAGAATGTGCTTCACTTCCTGACAGCAGAGGACAGGAAGGAGCCGAGACAGTACTGGCTGATCACAGCTTATCATCCACGAGGGAATCTCCAGGAGTACCTGACTCATAATATTATCAGCTTGCATGACCTGTGGCTGCTCGGAGGTTCGCTAGCCCGCGGAGTGGCACACCTTCACAGCGACCGCACCCCCTGCGGTCGCTCCAAGGTGCCTATCGCGCACAGGGACATTAAGAGCTCCAACATACTGGTGAAAAATGACTTGACCTGCTGCCTGTGTGATTTTGGCCTTGCGCTTCGGCTGGACAACTCTCTGTCTGTGGATGAGCTGGCCAACAGTGGGCAGGTAAGGCTTACCTAAGACTAAATTTTGGGCGATCGATTGTTTTCACTTGGCTGTCAATCACTTCAGACATCATCAACTTTGCCAGTGCCCCAAACACAAACCACTCTAAGCCCTGTCGTATAATTCTTCTGGGATATTTGTCAGACTTTGAAAAGAGCCAAGCTATATATCAAACCTTTCATTTTCTTACCCTCACAACTTCAGGACATTGTGTGTATATATGGCACTCACTCCATCTTGTCCCCAGAAGGATAATACTGATAGAAATACTGCTGTAAGTGCGCTTGGGTTGTTGTTGTTTTATCATAGTCACAAGACAAACAGGCTTGATTGATTCTTAATGGACTCATTACAAAGACGTAATAGGCCAGAGACAATTTACACTCTGTTATGAAAATGGCTTGTTATGAAAAGGACTCACCCTTTGCCACACAGCACACCTAATGCATTGTGATGCCCCTAATGCATTAGGAGGAAGCTCCAGTGGACACATTTTCAAGGATGGTAATTATGTGAAGACAAGCAAGGTTTTGATGAGCTCAGTGGTGCCCTTTTTTTTTTTTTCTAATTATTTTCTACATCAACTTTTTTTCTCATGTAGATAAATGTGATTTAATCTCTTAGAGCACACAGGACAAAATCACTACCTGTCGCTCGATTAATGCAGCTACTGTTTAACGAGCCGTTTTCAACAAAACGATTGCTGTTTTAGCCGATAAGAAAAGTGGTTCGCCACCTTCCCTTAGATGTACCTCTATATTTAAATCGTGCATAACAATATTGTGCATTCCCCTCCCATTTGCAACTATGGTCAAAGACTCAAAGACAATAATTAATCTGTGTCGCTCTCTATTTGTGTTTCCACAGGTGGGCACTGCCAGGTACATGGCCCCCGAGGTGTTGGAGTCCAGAATCAACCTAGAAAACATTGAGTCTTTCAAACAAGCCGATGTTTATTCCATGGCTCTCGTACTGTGGGAGATCATCTCAAGGTGTAGTGCAGTCGGAGGTAAGATCATGAAGTCCTTCTATGCTCTATGTTAATCAGTTAACACGCTGTGCTGTAGAACGATCGCTTCAGTTAAAATTCCCCCAAAAAATGCCAATGTTGTTTATTGTTTGTTGCTGGGGGGGGGGGGGGGGGGGGGGAAACGAAAAGAAAAAATGAGTGTGCAGGGAGACAGAACACAGCACAAAAGAAGCGATAGCAACATGCCACAATGATCCATAAACACGTGGGGAGTGGAGAGGACGTGCAGTGTGCATAATGTGAAGCCCCCCCCAGCAGCCTGAGCCTATGGCACCTTAACTAAGGGACGGTTCAAGGTCATTTGATATAGCTCCAACTAGAAGCTGGCTCCACAGGAAAGGGGCCTGAAAGCTGAAGGCTCTCCCTCCCGTTCTACTTTTAAACTTCCTAGGAACCCATGTAGGCCGACAGTCTGAGAGTAAAGTCCTCCATTAGGACAATATGATGGTATGAGATCTTTAAGATGTAACAGGGACTGATTATTGAAGACCTTGTTGTGAGGAGGAGGATTTTAAATTGGATTGGATTAAACAGAGAGCCAATGAAGACAAGCTAATATGAAAGAAATATGGCCTACTCTCACCGCATCCATCTGGATCAACTGAAGGCTTTTCAGGGAGCTTTTAGATCAGCCTGATAATGATGAATTACCATAGTCCAGCCTAGAAGTTAAAAATGCATGAACTGTTTTGGGGTTTTTTTCACCATCACTCTGAGACAGGATGTTTGTAGTTTTAGTAATATTGCACAGATGAAAGAAAGCAACAGTACATATTTGTTTAATGTGCACGCTGAAGGACATATCCTGGTCAAAAAGGACTCTTCCAGTAATCCAGTAGCACATGATGGCTCCTAGTCCTGCTTTTTCTGAAAGGAGAGATGACTTTTTCCTCACCGTCAATAAAATGAAGTCTGAACACGAGTTATGAAAAGCCTCCACTGGCTTTATCCAAATATTTTGAATAGATTAAACAACCTTACATAAACTGATAATTTAGGCATAAAATTAATTATTGATGATATAGAACATCAGTGAATGATTATGTAAATAGAGTTTAGCTTTAATGTGTGTTTGGGGAGGAATACTTAAGATGTCGGTGAGAAAAAAGCCTTGGTTTCTTGCCAGAGTCAGTTTAACCTTATCACACAGGAAATGCAGAAGAAAGGCTCTATGCTATGCATCTAGTTCCTGAAACACAGGCTACTTAAGAATAGTTCAACATTTAGAGAAAAAAATAACTTTTTGACTCTTGTTCATGTACTAAATGCGAGCATACTATTTGACACTACATCTCACTTGTTATTTTCTGTCATGTTTTCTCAGTATTTGTTTTAAACTCAATATTCTGTCTTCCTGACTATCAACGTAGTGTACTGTACATTTAACACTCCCTCTAACCTTTGCGGAGATAACCATCAATTTCCTTGGTAAATTAGCTCAGGTCACTGCAAGTATAGGAAACCAATAGAAGCACTGATTGATGAAATTCCCTTTAGAGGCTGTGTAAATATCCTCAGAAATACTGTAAAAGCTTGTTTGACCTCTGAGCAATACAAGCACCAAGTGACCAACTCCACTGTGAGTTCACTTATTAGCTGTGTGACAGGACTTATGTGTGAGCATTCGTTGACCCATTAGTCATGGTGGGAAGAAAATCTAAAAGTGTCAAAGCCACAATCCATCTTGTAGAAGCCTCAAGGATCAGCCTTCACTTTGCTAATGTACCGTTACTCGTGTTTGTCACTCTGCAGCAAAACAAGGTCGAGGTATGTGCAAATAATAGAAGTGGTTGATTATCTGAAGCCAGTACAGTGCAGTATTTCATGTCGACAGAAGGTTATTTGTTTTTGCTTCCTTTTGTGTCTCTGTGGTCCCGTTTGTTTCTGAGACTGCTCCTGTCTCCATTGTGTCACAGCAGTGATTGAATGCCGGGTTTGGGCATGAACACTTCTGCTTCTGAGTTTTCCTGTTTTGCCCCCACTAACCTCCCTCCCCTCCCTCCCCAGGGGGCTTCCTTGAAGTGTATCGCGCAGTTATTCTGCCCATGAGTCCTCTGAAGCAAAAACATGAGCAAGTGACCCACAATTCCTCTTGCTTTTCCTTCCAAACTGCAACAACATGGGTGCCCTGTGGGTACACATTTGAAAAGAAAACAGAGTATTTCCTGCTTTGCAAAGAGCATAGTCCCAAGATGCAGTTTTTTTTTGTTGTTGTTGTTTTTTTGAGAGATTTTAACTTTGTAAGTGTGGTTTATATTAGGACATTTAGTGGTTAATGTCTCTTGAGATCAGGACAGGCAGCATATAGAGATGAGTAAAGATGCACTAAACAGATCCAGGTTCACTCTGGCTTCATTTGGTTTCCTCTTGAGGGATTTCAGGAAATCTGCTCGAACAACATCTTCATTTGTTTATCCTGCGTTTCCCTCCATCCGTTACATGCATGTCAGATTAAGTCCTTCATTCCCTTACTTTGCATTAGTTTAGGTTTAGCTAACCTAAAGACTGTATACAGAATTAAACGTTATGCCAAAACACATTTTTGTCCTGCCCAGATACACTCGACCATTCTCTGTTTCTAAATCTGGCACTTTCAACTCAGTTACGCTACATTTTTCCTCCTGTCTCTCTCAGTCTCTTTCTTCTGAGACACAGGTAGGTGAGGCAGCAGTTAATTAGTCTCCCACTGCAGTGCAACACACCATAGGCAGCCGTGAAGCTTTACTCATGCAGGCACAGACAAGACAGGACAGGCCAGTGTAAATTTACTAGGGAAAGGAAGCGCAAGGTTCCCGTCCCACCTAGACTAAAGATAGAAGCCACTGGGTTAGTTCACATTTTCCTGTGTTTCACATATCTCTGTCCTCATTTTTCAGACTTGGCATTTCTTGGAGAAGTGTAAAAGGGTGAAGTCTGTAGTTCATCGGGGCTGAAACTAAAGGAGACGTTTTCCTGTTCAGAGAATAAATAACTGTACAAACAAAGCTAAGCTCTCACCTTGATAGACTATGCGAAAGATGGAAAAAATAAGCTGCACAAATGAGATGGTGTAATTTGGTTTTCCCTTAGTGGCAGCTAAAAATCTCCTTGCAGATAGTGTGCTGGCTGAGATCTGGTATTGATTCTGGAGCAGAGCAGCATGAGAGCAAAGCTGATGTGTTTACAAAGTACACTTAAGAGTTGCTTGCTTTCCTGCTGCTGTTTTTTTACTATGAAGTTGCCACGTTTTCCCTGGAGGTCGGTGAGTCACTTATGACTCCCTGAGATCTTACCTTCCTGAGACAAAATATGAGCAGATGTGAACCCACACTCATAAATTCAGAGTGACACATCCCAGGGCATCAGTATAATGACTAGGGTGATGCCCTGCTTTTTTTCTCTTGTCTCTGATGCCACCTGCCTGTGTGAATGTAAGGAAGATGTCTGATCACTGCAGGCAGGCACAGGGCTGCTCTGTCACGGCTCCTGAGGCCGTGGTCTGATCTGAGATCTGCCAGACGAGAGGAAAAAACCTGTCTGTCGACAGCCAGCCAGTCAGGCACAAACCATCCCTTTACCCTCTTTATCTTCCAAGACTGAGGGAAGGGTTAGAGCAAGGGGGGAAACAGAGAGATCAGCACACCTCCAAGAGAAGGAAAAGTCAGATTCCAGGCTCAGATCTTTTTATCTGAGTGTCTGTTCCTTAAAATCCCTCTGCTGTATAATTTAGCTGGTCCAGATTTAGGTCTTGGAAAGATTGTGAGGGCGTTCCTCGAGCGGGTGGGGCAAAGTAGGAGGATAATAGCGGAGTGGTGTCGAATGTGGAGCTGCAGACGAAAAAAAATGCCTCCATTCCCTGAGGGGAGAGGTTGAGCTTGACTGGAGAGGAGGAAAGGTTAGGGCAGCTGCTCTCCAGATGTCAGACCATCAAACCCTTCAGAACTGGAGGGCCTAATGCATGTGGTGGGGGGGCTGCCACAACGCACATTTAGGAACAAATTTTAGACTTGATTGAGGATGAAATAGGGTCAAAATACGTGCAGCCAATTTACGTTCCCTGAAGCTGCATTCAAAGTGGGCAAAAATATTTTTTTGGTTTTACTTAATGGGGTTAGTCGATGGTTAGGGAATGTATCAGCTGCAGTTAATGGTAGGGTAAGCTTCCAGGGCAAGTTGATGCCATATGCCCTAAAATTAAGCTCTGCTAATGAGTAATGTTCATGCATACATCTGTAATGCTTGAGTTTAACAACAGAAAACAAGTGTTGGAGCCACCGCAAACTAATGAAAACCAGCAGCGGCTGGGAGTAGATTAGTCAAGCTGTTGTTCCAGACTCAGACAGACTTGGGGAAGCTGACACAGTTGTTGCGATCACATTACTAATTTATTTCCAAATACATGGTGAAACTGTTTGGATCGCTTTTGCTGTATTATTTATGTGTTTAGGTGACAGGATTTCTCTTCTTATTTTCAGTGTTTATATTTTATTTAAGCTATAATTAGACACAATTGTTCACTTAGAAGGGCAGCAGAGAAAGACTATCGAACAAAATGTGAAATGCTTGTGCTGACTGATTTCTAAGCAGACCTGTGTGAGGTTAGTATTTCAGTATGCCAACTAAGACTGGTGAGTTTGGGATGTGCGTAGGGGAGCAGGTGGTCAATCTACGAGAACAAAAGTGCAGTGTGACGGATGTAAATTACAAAGCTTCAAAACGATGCCATTCATCAAGAGTTTTTCCTTGTTTGCAGTGGGAAAGAAAAATGACTACATTTTTCTTGGCTGCATATGCACAGACACTTTCTGCTGCCATGGCGGACAAGTGGGCTGGAAAATAGACATTAAGGAGGAAATATGTGCTAGCATTGCAAAATCCACATCACTACATGTCAGCTGTCGGACATATAGTGTAAGTTCCTCATTGTTACTGTGCTGAAGTTGTTAAATGGCTTTGGAGGAAATCTTGTCAGTGTGCAGTGTGTGACTTTTGCAAACCCCAGCAGTCCTCACTCGCACTGTATTGTGCTTTCAGAAGCCTCTTCTGCCACTGCAGTTTAATTTAAAGTTTACCTTTAATAAACATCTTTGCCTTTAGAGCCAGATTGGGCAAATCTGTTTGTCCTGGAATACACACTTTGTTTATGAAGTAGTACAAGTCCTATACTTGAGAAGCATTGTTTGGAGATGAGCACACCAGCATGTTTGCTGACACTTTCCAAAGTGGGTTTGCTGTCTAGAACACAGTTATACACTCCCTGGACCTGTCACAACAAAACAAACAACATCTGTCTCCTTTTCTCTTAAAAATGGTTGACTGGGTTTGTGTTTAAGCTTGAATAACAAACCAGAAGTACTTTGCTTGCAGTAATGTTGAGTTCCAGACTGTAAAGAACTTTTTTTTTTTGCAGTAGTCTGTGTCCCAGAATCCTCCAATTCCTGTCTGTAGGTTGCATAACTCCCTGCGATCTTTTCTTTTTAACGTGTTTAAAAAGAAATAAAACGTCATCACGATCATCAAACGATACAAACAACATGCTTATGTGAGGATTATGTGTTCCAGTAGTTTATTTTAAAAAGCTACAAACGGTTTTTATATGTTTCTTACCTTTTTTCATAATAATTCACATACAAAATATTGTTTTACTCTCAGCAACAACATGTTGGCCTTATGACTGAAGAGGCAACCTCAGAACCCGCCGACAGCTGACGCAGCTTTGTTCTGCACTGTTACGTAAACTCTGAGATTTACATGAGAAGATGCAGGACAAATCTGCATTGTGCTTTTTGTTTTTTTGTTTTTTTGTTTTTTTTTTATTCAGTACATTTGAAATCTGTGTGTTTCCAGTGACAGATTTAATAGCCAGCAGTTAATTACAGGGATTGTATTCTATTTTATTGTTAGAAAATATGTATGTGTGTATAAATATCTATATTTTTATACCACAAAATGCCTCTGCTACAATGAAGTATGAATTAAAGTGGTTCTGCTAGATTCTTACTGGCCTGTAAAAGCCATTGTTCTGTATTTCAGCTGCATGACATTAAACAGCAGCTGCAGTATCACTGACAGAAATATAGCCACAGTATATTTGGGTCCATAAGGAAACCATGACGCGCATTTGTCATTTTGCCTCTGCATGCCACCCCCACAGTGATTTTTACATTAAACTGTGCAGACCTTTAGCTTTAATGCAAGGGGTCTAACAAAAATATTGCATTGACTGGAGCCGTTGTAGTCAATGACTGACTGACGTCTAGAGAACACGGATATCACCAAATGCTCCGTTTCCTCCCTTGAGATGCTCTGCTACATCTTTACTGCAGCCGCTTCCAGTTACTGCTTGTTTGTGGGTCTTTCTGCATTAGGTCTGGTCTTCAGTAACTGAAAAGCATGCTCCATTGGGTTGAGATCAGGTGACTGACTTGACCCTTGAGGAATATCCTGTTTCTTTACTTGAGAAATTCTTGGGTTACTGTTGCAGTGTGCTTTGGATCATTATCCATCTAAACTCAAATTGCTCTCTGCTTAGTTTTGCAACATTTTTCTGAGTCTGAGCAGAGAGTGCAGCCCTATACACTTCATTCTGCTGCTTCTATCAGCAGTCACATCATGAATAAACACTCGTCAGACAGTTTCACGGGCAGCCATACGTGCCCATGCCATCGCTGCTGGTCATCAGTTTTTTGTTCCTGTTCAAAATTACTCATTTGAAACTTCCTGAGTATTTACAAGAATTTACCACTGTTGTTTAATAGTACATTGTAACTTTCACACAGCCAGGATGCATTGTAAAATGTGTTCGTTGTTTTAAACGACGACTCTGTCTTTGTAGGTGAGAAAAGTAGAAACTGTTTTAATTCTGACAACTATTTGCCACGTATGCCAGGGATCACAGTCAGAGACTCCACAGTGACTTTGTTATATAGTTTATTAATATGCATCTCCTTTTCACTTTATTCTCTCAGTCTGATTTTGTATCCATTATAAAATCTGTTAATTTTGTTAGTCCATCTTTTAATGACTGATAAGAGCTAGGTTTTAACTTCAGTGTAATTCAGTGTTGCGGCTGAGGAATCCAAACTTCAAACAAAGAGGAATTGAAATTTATACAATATTTTTTTGGAAACTGTTGACTCACAGCTCTCAGGCTTTTTCCTGCAGACCTGCTTTGAAATTTTGCCCTGAGTAAACACAACTGGTAAGTGGCCTTTGACAAGCACTCTGGAATTGTTGTGTAAGAGAGCTGCACAAAGCCAGAGCAGTGTTGGTGAGGTTTCTTTAAACTCATCGACAGCAAGGTTAAAAATGTGACGATAGTGTTTCTCTTCAGAAAATCTCGCCCGTGGCCCCTCTATCAACAGCTTAGGGTTCTTCAGTTGTTTGTGCCGCTTCAGTGCTATTTAAAGTTTGCATCCTGCAGTTTCAATTTAGAGCGCACAGTGAATCCTTTGAGAGGTGTCATTGATGTGTGTGCTGTGGGGCACCTCCATCTGATCTTTCTCTCTATTCCACAGAACTTCATCTGTCAGATGTGATCTGTTTCAAAGTTGTTTTGCCCGTGTAAAAGCCTAAACCTACCAGCTTGAGCTGTGCACAGGCTAATTCTCTGAACCCACCCGTTTCTGTGTGTTCACATGCAGACGTGAAAGCATACGAGCCACCGTTTGGAAACCTGAGAGAACACCCGTGTGTAGAGAGCATGAAGGACAGCGTCCTCAGGGACAGAGGAAGACCTGAGATCCCCAACAGCTGGACCAACCACTCAGTAAGAAATGAAATTTATAAATGCCTCGTTTGTAACCACAAAATCTGTGTTTTAACATCATAATCTTTTGCCAGCTGATATTAAAAACGTGTTCATTTTTATTATCAGGTATACTGTCATGAATGCACCTTTTGTTATAGTGGAGGATGCTCATATTAAGCAAAGCAAACAAAAAAAATAAGAAAATAACATTGATTATTTGGGATTAATCACTACGGGCCAAACACAGACTTTAAATACTTTCGGTGGGGGGGGG